TTTGGACACCTTTGGGAACCATTATTCTGTCTACCGCCACTTGGGTCAATACTCATACCTTCAGAATTTTGGCCAGCAAGGTCAACGAATAAGAAAGGAAGCAACTATTCCTACTGCTTGCTGGATTTCCCCCAACTATCACTTATAACTTCACAGTATCAGGAAAATCAAAATTATCATCTCATTAAGGGATGTAGAACAGTGAACAAAATATGGAACATGTTCCCAAGCACCAAGAACTTGGCTTGGTCTCCACAATGCAGAGAAGAGTGTACAATTGCTCTGGGAATTTGATTCTCCACAAACAGCCAGCTGGCTGACCAACATTATGGGCCTGATTCTATAAGTTGTGCATTTTCCAGTAAGAGGTACTCAAATAACCCCAATCGGCTTTATTGAAGCTTTCCTTACTAAGGTAATATGCATTCATGTCCTTCTATGATGTATGTACTATAATTGTCCCACTTTGTGAGTGAGAAATTAATACACTCTATGGTTATTACTTGACAAGATCTTACTTTCACCAAACCAGTAAAAATTACATCTGATTCCAAAGCCTGAGGTCTTAATCTTACGCAATAGTGTGTCTATTCACTTTTATAACCCATCTCTCCTACAGATCCTCCCGCTTCTATCCCCAACCCAAGGGCTTCCTTATATGATTCCAGGAGTGGGAGTAGATACAGTTATACTCATGCACACATTCAGTGATGCTCTTTCTGTCATTTGTATCTTTATGAAGCTTTATGCCTTGATTATATGCCTTTCTGTTTTGATCTATGATAAGGTATGGAGACTGCTGGGCCACTAGCAGGATATGTCATGAATACATGGCTTAGAGTCACATCTAGTTTTAAAATGTGGCTAGGTCGTCACCTGCCAAGTAATTTAGCATGTTATGTGAGCATCATAAACTTCAGTTTCCTCCTCTTATGAGAGATCGGCAATAATATCTGCTTCAGAGGGTCATTGTAAGGATTCAAAGAATGATATATGCAAAGCATATATGTATTATAATAATAATGTATTATTATTATATAACTAGAGGCCGGGTGCACAAAAATTTGTGCACTCGGGGGGGAGGGGGAGTACCTCAGCCTGGCCTGTGCCCTCTCGCAGTCTGGGACCCCGCGGGACATAACGACCTGCTGGCTTAGGCCTGCTCCTGGGTGGCAGAGGGCAGACCCAATCCCTAGGTGCAGCCCCTGGTCGGGCTCAGAGCAGGGCCGATTGGG